ACAACAGTTTCTCGTGCAGTGTGAGGTCTTGCGTTATCATGGAGCAATAATGGTGAAGATCGATTAACGAATCGGGGATGTTTCACTGCCAGTTTCGCCATCATTGTTCGAAGTTCGATAGCAAACATCTGCTGTTATTGCCTGACTAGACCTGAGAAAGCTATAGTGAATAACACCATGAAGAGATTGAAAAGACCAGCAAACAGTTACCATTACCTGTTTATTGGTAGGCTTTGCTTTGGGGCACTGTTGCGGCGTTTGTCCTGCGGTCAGTCATTGCATTTTTCGCTTGCGGCTATCGTGAACAATCCACTTTTCGTTACATGTCACAATTAGATCCAATATTCCTTCATTTCTGTACCGATTCAACAAGGCATCACAAGCTTTAATACGCATTTTTTTCAGATCAGTCAAATTATGAGGCACCCATTTTTCATATTTTTTATCTTATTGATTTTATGCAAATGAGTCAATATTGCAGGTAGGGTAACGTTAAACTATGCCGCTAATTCCTGGGTAGTTTGACTCGGATCGGCTTCCACCATCTTCTTTAATTCAGTGTTATTCACCTGTCAATTCAAAGTATCTATTACTATACAACGGCAATTTCATATTTTATCCCCTTTATAATTTTTTTTTTTTTTTTTCCGTGCCCAAATCCCCTCGGATACCACCTGTCGGTGGCATGTCGGACTCGAACCGACTAAAACCGCACGCCGTCTCGGGTACTAATAGCCGGGGAACCAGGTATACCCTAGAAAGGAAGTCCCTGGTGCCCCGACATACCTCGGGTCATCTACAGATGAGTAGACGACCCCCCCCGTGTGGGAACCCCATGTTCCCTGTGCTCCCTGGAAGCGAGTGCGCTTTGCAACGCGCTCGCCGCCACCCCGGCCTGCTTCTGCTAGGGTGACAGATGGCCTCACCTGTCACCCCCAGGCCTGCGCTTATGGAGGACGGAGGTCGTTCTGCGACCTCCGGCGCCTGAGTCGCCTGCGGTACCTGGCCCGTTCCCGGGCCTGGCGGGCCGGGAGAGTCCTAAACCTCTCCCGGTCCCGCTCCGCCGTCTCCTTCGCGAGCATAACTTGCTCGCAGAAGGAGACGGCAGAGTTCCACGCACTCTCGCTCCGCACGATAGCCGCAATCAGGCTATCGAGCGAGAGAACTCCCACTCCGATGGCCGCCACGAGGTCTCGCCTCTGCTCAACCCACGCCGGGCACTCTGCCAGCGTGTGGAGAGCCGTGTCCACGGTCTGGCCATCGCAGTGGTGGCACTCAGGCGTTGGCTCCTTGCGGATCAGACACAGGTGATCCCCGAAACATCCTTTCCCAGTGATCACCTACGTCAGTCGGTATGAGAGGGTCCCGTGACGCCTCTCGAGCCAATCCTCCATAACGGGTCTTACCGCCGCGATGACGGCGTGCCCGGCGCTCGGTTGCCCGAGTCGTTCCCTCCACTCCCCTATGATGACCTGACGGAGTTGGGCTTTCCGGTCGTCGATTTCTCGAAATTCGGGACAATGACCCAACTCCCGCGCCTCCTTGCGCCACTGAAACAGAGCCGCAAGGGCTCTCGCCTCCAGGTCCCACGGTGGAGTTCCGGCCAGGAGACTCGCCGCCTCAAAGGAGATCGTGCGGTACCCCCTTATGATCCTGATGGCCAGCACTCGCTGCGGTCGTCGCTGGCCTTCAGGGCCCCGCCCATACTGGGCAACCGTAAAGGGCCATGGACCGCACAACCCCCGAGTAGAGTCTCCTGCAGGAGTCATCGGGTCCCTTCATGTTGGGCAGCAGCCGCGCCAACGCACGCGCTGCCCCAACCAACTTGGGGACCAGACCTCGGAAATGATATCCGAAGTCCCATCGGCCATCGAGTTCGAGCCCCAGATACCTGATCGAGAGCTTGATGCCGATGCGAGTCATATTTTAACCCCTATTATATACTTACATAACTAGTAGATCAACAATACAGTCGTAAAATAAAACAACAAAATGTACCATTTGTAACTCGAGATATAACATCAAAACATTTCGTAACATTTAATGTATGTTTAATATATGTATCACAACAGTTAAAAATAAAGTAATATGACGCTTTACTGTGACAAAGCGTCATACGGTCATAGGATTTTCCCAACTATTCTTTACTAAACTTTTACTTGTAACTAACATCGCTCATTCCCTCACTTGTAACTTCTCTATGTTAGCGCCCGTTGTTAGAAGACAAATTAATAGTAACTTACTTTTACCATATATGTATAACATTAATTAAAACTTAGCAACGGAAAATAACCCAGTATCAAGAGTCAGCGTGCGTCAACAAGGAAATTTTAATAAACTCGTACTGTTCGTTTAATGATCTCAAAGATAACACATCGTGTTAAGGTTACTATTTTTCTATCTAATCTAAATCTATGATTGTTTTGGATAAACTGAAAAAGTTCTTGACCCATTTGCTAAAAATTATTTACTGCGTGGAATCCAGTGATAAAAATATGTCACCTCGCTTAAAATGCAGTCGAATTAACACGTGTATCAGTGGACAGAGACACATCGGTTTGCTTACAGAATACGGCCATTACTAGTATGGTATGTGACACTACATGGCGAAACGGCAATATAATAAATTTCGTAAATGGAACCATTAAGGGAATATCCTAGCGCTTTGGCATTCACTACTAAACCAGTCAGTCCGCGATACCAGCTAGCACAACCTGGTGGAACCGTTAGACTATTCAAAGGGACGCGGAAGTTTAGAAGATAGTATTAGTACCCTACCTGGATTCTATTATAGAAACAATTAACTATTAGCTTGTAATTTGTCTCTCGAACGCCGTCTGGCCCTGTGCGAAGAATACCAGTTATCTTTTTATCTATATATGCTCGTATGAAGCCGGGATTAGTCAAATATAATCGATTTTAATTAATATTTTACTATTAGAAAGCTACTTTGCTTTGAAAATGTTTACTTTTATCCCAATATTCCTACGGGATCCTGATCTAGGGGGTGAATAAATGATATTACACATTTATTTATTTATAAAACTTAATGCACAAGTTGTAGTTTGTTGTTGTTGTAATGCCAGGCATTCTCTGCCAGTCGACCTTCGGGTGATGTAGAAAAATGATGCGGTAGGTGCAAGAGGTTAGGCGGAAGCGAAGGCGGAGCCCCAAGCTACCTATCTTCAATTAGCCTGTCTGCTTATTTGCTGTATACCATAAAACTATCTCTATCTATGGACCCCCGGTCGGACCGAAGTTCCGTTCGCTTTTTGATAAACGTTTGCTATACAGTGATTATAATTTATATCAAGTTAATAAAGTTAAATTGAAAAAAAGTATGATTAAATATATTTATTATGTATACGATAAATAAATTACTAAAAGATCTCGGATAATTAAGTTAATGACAAAAAGCCGAAGAGAAGGAACCCGTCGATTCTTTCGGCGCGCGGGACAGATGTGTGCGGCGATGTATATAGTTCATATAAAGCTGTAACTATAGCAAAAGTCTAGAACACATTTTTCGGTCTCGCTCCCATCCTCTCAGCAGCATCCCCTTAGTTATGGGGAATACCCCATAACTAAGTTCGTTTGAAGTTCGACGCTGTGGCAGCGCTGTACGCAAGACTGTTTCCTTAGAGAATTCTACGGAAGGAACTTCGTTCACAAAAAAATCTATAGATTAAATGAACGCAGAAGCAGGCAGTAGCTATTGTATATAAAAAAAAATAATCTAACGATATAACCGACAGTGTTATCTAGAAGTCGTGTGTTTTATAATAAAATAACAACTTTAAATAAATTGCACCTATTACGGCATTATCGGCATCGAGGCAGGAATGTTTAACTCTTTGAAAAAGGGCTCTGTCTGGTCTGCAACTAGTCTAGCCTTTCATATTTATACCTGTGTTTATGTAAAATTTATTTTGTTAATATGTAAATCAAACATTTTCAATACTTACATCATTTTATTGTGAATATTTATACAACTTTTCTTAGACGATAGGAGATATTGTTCAGTTAATTTAACCAACAGAATCAGCACCTCCATTATCTATTCGGCTCACGTTGCCGTGTTTCATGAGTTAATACCTTTAGAGAGGGCCCCTCTCTGAGGACTGAATGTGGTCGATTAACTTAATCGGGTCGAGTCGGCTGTGGTCAGCTACGTATCCTTGTTAATAGGTAATAAATCTGTTATGCTAGAAGGGTTTGACTTAGCGAATCTTAGCTTGTGGGTGGGAACATATCAGTATATATATAATACCACGTATTATAAAGCTGACCTTACGGTTTTGATCAAATAATAATATGTTATGTATATTTTAGTTTGCGAAATACCACAATTAGATTGAAGGTTGAAATTAAAAATAAATGTGTGCTTAAATTACATACTATAAGTGTTACTACGTACCCAATTGTTGATAGTTCGATGAATTCATTTTTAACATGAAGCCGGAGGGCTTTATTTATCTTTCTATGGCAATGCTTTAATGTGTGTATCCGTGTCTAAGATACTAAATGGAGGGACCGATTTTGAATTAATTTGTTTCGATTGAACGATGACTCGATTGAGACGCTATTAATACCATTAAAGAAAACCAATCTTTTTTAAGTGTTGGAAGGATTTTTCAGTCGGGGTATTACATTTAATTCTGGGGGGCAGTCAAAGAGCTGCAGCGCACATTTGACTCTTTTACTCTGGAGTTGTAGGTCTGGTCTGGTCTGTGGGCGGCGGTAGTCATTTCCCATCAGCTGAACCATCTGCTCGTTTGCCCCACACCGTAAACAATGACGAAGAAAACCAAACCTCAAGACCCAACCATTTGTGCCATGTGCATGGGAAATAGACCACTTTAAAATACGCACCATTAGTGCAGACAATATTCATTCCAATTTAGAAGTTATTATTAATATACACGTACGTAGACATGATAAAATTTACTTCTAGTATGTTAGATTCTGATCTTCTATGTTAGATTTAATAACGCTGAAGGATGTTCGCGAAGTGTATGTGCAAAGAAATGCGTGAGTTTATATCTGTATACACTAGCTTTTGCCCATGACTCAGCCTACGTATGTGTCGGTTATCGCGGTAAAAAGTAGCCTATGTCCTTTATAAAAAGTCAAACATACCAAAAATTATATCTGAATCGATTCAGCAGTTATTGATTCCCCATACAATAACTTCAACCCCCCTTCTTCCCCCTTAACAGGATTATTCCTAGGATAAAAACTATACCATGTCCTTTCCTGTTACTCAAACTATCTCAGTACCAAATTTAATCTAAATCAATTAAGGGGTTTAAGCGTGAAGAGGTCACAAACAGACAGACAGACACACTTTCAGATTTACAACATTAGTATGGTTAGGGATAGGTGTATTAACACCCATATTTTTAGTCCCACTTACGTAATAGGTGCCTACCGGACATACTATATGTTTTTAAATAAAATATAGTATTTTAATTTCTAAATAAGTAGGATTGATATGTAATAATAATAATGAAATAAATGTGAAACTGAACTGCTTACTTCCAGTAATTCCATAGTGATAAATTTACTAGAAATAACTAAAACCTTCAGTGAATGTATCAGGATGGAATTTCGTGTAGATAAATGTGCAATCTTGAATATAAAAAGTGGCAGGATATTATATATAAAGGAATTAAATATGTTTTTAAATTGATTAGCCTAAAATAGTGACGTCATAAGTTGCTATTTAGTACATTTTTCATACAAAATTGTCGCTCTAACTTTAACAGATGATAAAAAGTAACTAATTTAACTAAGGTGTCAAATATTATTAGACTATAGACTAAATTACTAATTAAATATTACTTTGGAAATTATGAAAACCTACATGCAATTAGGCTAAGAGTTCAAGTCTGTCATCAAATTCACGTTAAGTAATTACCAATTCACTGTACTCGAATGCGAACAGGTTTCGTAATGATTACGCGAACACTTCCGTCCGGCCGCCGTGTTATTGACATTGTCACCCTACAACTTTCTCTGCCGACTGCACGAGCTATAAACGGAACAGGTAATGTAGAATTACATAAGGTAGGTCGCTTACTTTATAAGGCATTCAGTTATATTTGAAAAGTAAAAGAATACTAAGTAGTTGATGTGGCAAATAAGCACACGACTCGCCAGACAGACTGACCAACTGACAGACGTTGTAAACACCTTATTAAAATCATTAAAAACAGTCGGAATACAGTGCCGTAAGAAGTGTCGGGAAAATGTCTCGTTACACATGTTTCGGTCTCGCTTTAATGCGCTCAGAGCGTGTGATGCGTTATAAGCGATTGCGTTCCAATAATCTCTTAATAAAAGCATTTAATTAACATAAAGGAGAGTTAAACAAAGTTATAGTTTGTGTTTAATTCTCTAGTCTATCAACATTTCCTACATGAAATTCTATTTTCAAACCAACTTAGAGGATACTACTTTGCATTTGACACAAACTATTTTGTCTCTAAATTTATAAATGGATTCATACCCAAAGACCGAAGTGGTCCTATTTTTGCTATGTTCAAAATAAATTATTTCACTCTGCGATAACCACAGTGTTATAGTAATATCAAATAAAAATGATTGTAGTTAGATTTAAGTTTATTTTACAAATAGCAACTTTAATAGAATAACAATAGAAAAACTTTTGGAACACAAGAACACAATCTGTTCAACACACAAACAATCTGGTGGAACAAATTGTCTATGCAAGCTCTAAGTTTTCAAGAAGAGAGGAAAAGAGGAGTAGGACATAAAAACCGAAATATATATCTACTTCTATTTTCGAAACAGGAATGTAAGTATCTGAAATAAATTATGCCATAGAGAATCTTTATTTAATCCCTTATGACTTATAAACACAACTTATTTTAAACTCTACGTTCTGGAAAGTAAAGCCTACATTTATTTTTACTTAAAGATTCATTCTTTATAATATTAAAGTCTCAATGCAAGTGAGTACGTATAGTATATAAAAATACCAATTTCTATAGTATTTTGATTCTGAAATATCTATAATGAAATGATATGAATATGGATAAGTTTGAACACCAAAAAAAAAGAAAGAAAAAAAGGAGTGAAGAGCCCTATTCAGAAATTGATAGTATACATATAATAACTAATGTAAATCAAATTATCCCCGGACACGCATACCCGGCCCCGGCCTTTTAGTTAAGTCTCAGTCAAATTTCTTACCCAAATTTACCTATTCTAAGTTTTGCCACCCGTTTTTGAGGCCAAAACCTCCATTCTAAGAAGATACCTATGTCCAGCAGTAGACTATTAAAGGCTGTTGATGAAGGATGATGATAATACCTATAATACCTATTATCTAGGTTATAAATAGGTTAACTTACAAAATCCAATTTTAATTTCTCATTTCTTAATTTTTAATTTTGTTTTTTTTTTATCTTGTAATTTATTCCAAATTTCTAACGCAAATACTGTGGCATCGACCAATCTATTCCTATGAGAATAGCTATGGCAAAAATGTATATTTTTCTTGTATATCTATCTACATGCACAGTTGACATAAGTAATTTATCTAACATTTTTATATATAGATATTAGTAGTAAAGCTAAATCCCTTTATAAAACGCTATCTCTGTAATTACTAGTCGAATTTTAGGTTATAGCCTATTTCAAGTCACTGGACAATCGTGCAAGAACAGAGCAGTATCTATACCGGTGAAACTTAAGGGAATGGGTAGCTTATTATAAGATCTGTTAAAGGTATGGCAAGTTCCAACTCTCCCTATCTTTGACAAATTTACTTTGCTACCGCAGAAGTTTTCGAAACAACAATAAAACACCGCGGTAATAAATTCACGGAAACAGCTGTTTATTATTCCTAGTCTCTTATTATAATACTAACTAACGGATAAAATTATAATTGCCTTGCATAACAATAATTTATTCATGCTTTAGATAAAAAAAATTGCACACTGAAAATTGTTTCACTAAATTTGTGAAACGGTAATCGTTTGTATTAATGTTTGTGAAATAAAGTGATACTTTATAATAAAGTAAACTGGTTCTCTCATAATGGTACCTTTGTCACTATATTTATCAGTGCTCTTTTTCAACATCTATTTTTTGTGGTAAAATGCGCAAAGTAAAAGACGAGTCATCTTCTGGGAACTGTCTCATGAGAAGTGAATCCAATGGAATGCAACTGAAGAGGCCATTTGACCCTTCCCTCACTCCTCTCTATCTATTGCCCCTTCAATAACGTCACTCATACGGTGAAATGAGGGAAAAGAATTGTTTAACACTGTTATTCTGTGAGGCCCTGTTATCATTGCGGTTGAGCCGGCCCGTATTTTCTGATGAATAGCTCTCGCTAATCAAGGATCTATAGTTACAATCATCATCATAATCTTTCAAATCTCCTGTATTTTTTCTATAATATTTTATAATTTATCTGTTTATAGAATGTTAGTACCATCAACATTTAAAGTTCTTTTTGACGGCAAGTCACCAGAACGAACCCTTAATATTATTCGACCTCATTTTCACTGTGTACTCTTGCGCAATTTTAATGAGTATTTATATGGATTTGATATAAGATTTAAACAAAAACGATTTTTGAAACGCTCATATTATTTCGACAAACGTTAGTCCATTATATGAAGTTACATAATGGACCGGAAGTGAATGGCCTCTTTCGTATGTGTAATGTTATGGTAAGGTTTTGATCAGGCAGATGTCTATGATTCGTGAAGGTGAACATAAAGTAGAAGTTGATTCATTTGCATTTTTATCACCTTGAGTATTATATTTTTAAATGTTATTTCAAATTTTAAATCTGTTCTGTCTTCCTAAACTATTTGCCTTGCCGTGAGACGGGTCTTAAGATCTGGAAATGGGCGGTTGTAGATCGGCACAGTAGAGTCTACACAAGAAACAATTTCAATTTTTTTTTAAATTAAATAAAGATAGTTTGAGTTTGAAGACATCCATATATTTATGTTGAGCGTGTTTCGGTAATAATAACTCAAGCAAACCCCGTGCCCATTTCCTAACAAATTAATCTTAAGATAGCTCAAGCATTGTATTTGACGACTGGATGGCGTAGTGGTTTGTGTAACGGACTGCTATTCCAAAGGTCGCGGGTTCGATTCCCGCTCAAGTCAAACATTTGTGTGCATAAACATTTGATGTTTGATTTGGTCTGGGTGTTTCTATGTATAATATGTATGTATTTACAAAAAAAAAGTATATATGTATTTATATCAGTTGTCTAGTACCCATAGTACAAGTTCTGCTTAGTTTGGGACTAGATGGCGTTGTGTGTATGTGGTAGAATATATATTATTAGAATATATTGTCAGCACTTTTAGTTTTAACAAAACATTGAAACATATATATGATATATGAAACATTGTTCTTAACAAACTTTGCCGAATAGAGCCAAAAGATTCACCATGCTATGGAGTCACTTGGGCCTTATTTGGAATATAACTCAAAACATCGCTGAGTGTATTTTTATTAAACTAATCTTGTTATTAAATATGGCTATTTGATTATTTCGACTATTTACTGAATCAAAGGACCTATTCATAAATATTTGTCCAAATTGTTTTCATTTTTGTAGTTTACGGTCATACTCCACAATAACTATTGATTGTTGTACGTGTGAGCATAATACTGCACATTACAATTTTTTTTCATAAACCCAAAACAAGTGACCTTGAGTTTAAAAGGATACTTTTGCGTTTTACGGTGTATATTAAAAATAAAAATTGGAAAATCGATTGTCTATGATGTCAATAAAACGAACATGCAATGACATAATATCAATAAACAAATTCATTACATACTCGCGGGTCATCGCTGTAACCGTTGAAGCATGTTGCAACTACTGGTGGTGGTAAGAAGTGTTCAGTAGTGTGAACAGCGTCGTGACGTGTAGTGCAGTGAACGGTGCCAGGTGGATATTTTATTGCGGTAGGTTTGAATATCGAATCTTTTTTTTGTGTTTCAGATTTTTTTTTTATTATTATTTCGTTTTTTTTCTTTTAATGTTACATTTTTAAATGAGCATGGCACCATAAACTATTTAAAACCAGTTCAAAGGAAATCAAAGTTACTGACATCTTAGGTACTGCACTTTTATCAATATTTTGGTGATTTTTTTGGTAGCAGTTACCAAAATAAAGCAATACCTTGTGTTTTTATTGGGGTTTCTGTGGATGTGTTCAAATTTATAAATAAACGAAGAAAGACATCAGGTAGTACTACCTGATGTCTTTCTTCGTTTAAAGGTCATACACTTGTTAAAGTTTTAATTGTTCTTCGAAATGCAATTCCGCCGCGTTTGAACTAAATATCATCATTTTGATTTGCCTGAAATATTTGTTGAAACATTCGGCAAATTATTTGGTGATTAGCTACATAAAACATATTTTTTTATATTTATTTCAATACATTCACAACTTATCTTAGCTAAAGATATAAATCCCTAAACATATTTTTTATTTTATTATTTACATTGCCATTTTATTTCAAAAACAATGTAAGTCCTAGTTTTTTTAATTTAAATTAAATGTGATAGAATTCAGTGCATTTATATAATAATGACAGCGTTTATTTACGCAATATTTGCAATTTGTTAAAACGTTAGTTCCTGCAAGGAAGCGGTATCGTCTGCTATCAATATCACGCTTTCTTAACCACTAATTTTGGCTACACCTATGCTCGTCTAATGTAGATGATTATCAATCAATTTCCCAAAAGCTTACAAAATACATTTTCTATAATGATATATTTTAGTGAGTTGTTGGTCCAGTCCTTAGTGACGCTATCGATCCAAGGTTCGAATCTCACCCGTGTCAAATAATTGAAGTGGTGAGCATGATTATTGGTTCTGTGTCTAGGTGTAATTTTTTGTGCCCTCCCTGTTCCGAAATCAGGATGTCCACAAACCGCCTTGCATTCAAGAGAAAAGTGCGCGATCTTCTTCGGAGTAAATTGTCGGAACAGTCACAACGCTAGTACCCGACTGAGTATTTATATATTTTGTTCAATTTATGTATGTGTGAGTGTTTATATATTGTGTATGTCTCTGGACCGCCTTTGTACAATATGTGCATTAAGTTTAAAATAAATAAATATTTTTTTCTAAATGTAAATATTTAGTAATAAGACGGCCGTGTGTGTGATGCGTAATATAATCTATCTACGTACACAGTTGTCGAGTGACATATATGTAGATATTAGTAGGAAAGCTAAATCCCTTTTTAAAACGCTATCTCTGTAATTAGTAGTCGAATTTTAGGTAATAGCCTATTTAACGTCATATGACAATCGTGCAAGAACGGAGCAGTATCTATACGGGTGAAACTTAAGCAAATAGGTAGCTTATTGTAAGATCTGTTAAAGGTATGACAAGTTCCAACTCTCCCTATCTTTGTCAAATTTACTTCGCTAGTTACCCAAGTACCGCAGAAGTTTTCGAAACAACAATAAAACACCGGGATAATTTTATTACTATTATAGTTCTCAAAATTAAGTACTCGACATTATAGCGAATAAGAGGTTTTATTTATTGCTACTATTAATGAGTTTCAAGTAAAGTCTTAAATTAAACTAAAGTTAACTTGAAGTTAAATCAAAGTTATATTTAAAGTCAAAGATTAGTAATGTAACTTATTTCTATTCTTGAAATGCTTAACGTTTACATCTATATATATATAAGAGATTTCCACGTATATATATAGTCACTCATCACGATATATAACCATTAGAGCTAAAGACTTGAAATTTGGTAGGAATATTCTTTTCACCGAGTAGAGGTCAGCTAAGAACGGATATTAAGAAATTCAAAAAATAATAATTAAATAATGTAAATAGCAAAACAACGTTTTGCAGGGTCAGCTAGCTTATTATATGATGGTACCCACCCGACATCGCGGTTATCAGTCGCCAATGAATCACAAGGAGCTGTTACACTAACGACTCGTATGTGAATCAATCTCGTCTGTACGGCGACCCCAATATGACGTAACAGTGTTAATCATTTAAAACAAAATAGTTGGTACATATTTTTAAACTATAACTTAAATTCCTTTTCTGAATATTTCAAAGATGGAATTAAATTGCTTTTTTTATTTAGATAATTTCTGTTTCAATTATAAATATTTCTTTCTTTTAATATAAATTACCATAAAAGATAATAATCCATTTTGCACCAACGAAAACAGGTTACTGATGGAGCAACTTCATTTTATCCTGTCAATCTGGAACATGTCTAACTTGACAGATCCAATTTTGTGGTACGAATAACGTTGTTGATATTGTACCATTGTAAAGATTAAAACTTATTCATGGAACTTGATTTTACTTTTTTTTTAATTCTATTTTACCTACTAATGAAATGTGTGCAAAGGAACTTAAATAAATCAAAGTGCTATTGAAATGATAAAAAAATCAACCCTTTTCTTTTACATAATCTACTTTACAACTATAGCCTCAAATGTCAATCCTAAAATTAGACCACTTAGGTTTAATTTTTTTAAACTTGTTATTTACCTATGACAATACACCATTAACATAACTTGTAATAAGAAGCAAGTGTTAAAGCTTAACTAGATAAAGAAAATATTGGTAGTGACGCACTTTACTAGAAGACGTTAAAATCGCAACAGAAAATTGTAAGTGTGATAACACCCTTAGCCTGTCACATGTTATTTTTTATAGAACTATTTTGAGATAGTTCAGTACTTGTTTATATTATTATATCTATAAGTGAGAACAATATTTATATTCCACTTCTATTATGAGAAGATTATAGTTAAATACTAAGTTTGTGGGATAAATGTAGTTACATTTGTAATTGTGGTGTTCTCAATGAAAACCTTTGTCATACTTTTATATCAGAATTACACAACATTTTTTTAATAAAATAGATGCAACAATTGTTGTATAAAACAGTTTCTTCTCCTACTACCAGAACATAAAATGAATCTAAAACCGTACGAAGATTAAGAACTCTTTTCTGTATTTCAAATTGTTCAATTTTTATTTCTTATTAGGTCCATTTTTTGTTTAAAATTGACAGTTTTGCCAATGTTGTATCATTTTATATGAAAACAAAGTGTTTCCTTCTTTGGTTTCGAATTTTTTCATCCATCTGTCACATTTGTCACTCTGGATAAAAGTCCCGATATCCTACACTTCTAGCAATATAGAGCTTATGCAAAATTCCATAAAGGTTGAATAAACGGTAAAGTAGCGCATGAAATACCATTTTTATGTAAGATTTGACAGGCTAACAATCGCAAATAATGCTTAAATATAAGAAATCTCAACATTCCGTCGGGATTTGGTCTATCAACACAAGTAATACAATCCACGGAGTATTATAACACATCTCTTCATTCCATTATAGTTAACTGTAACCACATCACAATGATAATATCAATTATTCGGCTCACCGCATAATAATAGAGCGGAGTTACGCCAGAGATTATTGTATTAAATATAAAACCACGAAATGTACCTTCAGGTCAATAGAGTAATTACTAAATAACGCAAAAACCATTCCTAATTTGTAAAATAACGCAATCTGTGATAATTTAATTTCCATTACGTTAATGGTATTTAAAATATTACATCACTGACTATAACTTATGCATAGAAAGACTAAGAGTCCAATATTTTTGCAGACTGATAAAGAAGTGTATACACCAATTGATTTTTTGATTGTTCGATGTTTTATAAGACAGTATGCCAGAATACTTCTTCGAATTTTTGCTTTACTGTATATATTAATGATGACGTACCTTCTATTTATTAAAATCGCTATGACAAAAATGTCATCCTAGACATTAAAAAAAAAGTTCTAGGGATAAAATCCCCTCGGTAACCACCGGTGGGTGGTATCCGAAAGGAATTTCGAACAGAAAACAAAAAGGTGTAAAGTGGGAGCCCTAAAACAAAACTGATTTAGAAATGTGTCAAGTTACGTACCTCGCTAGCCCTTTCGGTTATTCGTTGATAAGAGCAAAGTTATTTATGTATCTTACAGTGAAACAGTAGAAGTACTAGACAACCTTAAGAATAATTTATTCTTATCTTACTTCTGATCTTCAAAACTTTTTTACGTTCACTGCTTCGTTACTTTATTTATTGGTATATATAAGACTAGCAATTGCCTGCGGCTGCACCCGCGTATATGTCGGTAAAAAGTATGCCTATGTTACTCGCTGATAATGTATCTTTCCGTTAGTGAATAGAGTTTTTAAGATTGGTTTAGGCGTGAAAGCGTAACAAAGAAACAAACATTTCACATTTATAAATGGATATCTCCTTACGCTTTATTTTTATTTTAGAACCTGTTTTTGTTTATTATATATGAGCTTTTGTCGGTCCGCGTGTGTGTTCGTTATCGCGGTAAAAGATACTTTATGTTACTCGCTGATGATGTAGCTTTCCATTGGTGAAATATTTTTTTAAATCAGCTTGTGGTTTAATGCGTTATAGCTCAACAGATAAACAAACAAACTCACTATCACATTAACTATATAAGTGTGGCTGTCACCGTGACTTCAAAAGAGGAGTAAATTCTCGTTTCGACAGTACTTTTTTTATGTTTGTTATCTTGAAACTCCGTTGTTTATGAACCGATTTCAAAAAAATCATTTTTTATTCGAATATACTTTCCATCAGGTCTTATTTAAATATATATATATACCTCAGCCTATGCTTGTCCACTGCTGGACATAGGCCTCTCCCAATGATTTCCAGCGGGGACGGTTGATTGCGGCCTGCATCCAACGGTTTCCGGCAACCTTTACCAGGTCGTCCGTCCATCGGGTAAGCGGTCGTCCCACAGTCGCTTTCCAGTACGTGGTCTCCATTGGAGAACCTTGCTTCCCCATCGGCCGTCAGTTCTCCTTGCTATGTGCCCTGCCCATTGCCACTTGAGCGCGCTAATCCGTTGGGCT